AGCCCAGCGAGCAGGGCCAGCTGCGTGCACGCCAAATCTCGGCGGCGCAGATCAACAAGCTGGAGGAGCTCTGGAAGGACAACATCGATGCCACGTTCCAGGATCTGGAGAAGCCAGGCATCGACTCGGAGCCCTCTCAGGTGCTGCTGCGCTACGAGGATGGCTATCAGTACGAGAAGACATTCGGCCCCTTGGTGCGCCTCGAGGCTGACTACGACAAGAAGCTGAAGGAGTCGGCCACCCAGGAGAACATCGAGGTGCGCTGGGATGTGGGCCTCAACAAGAAGACCATCGCCTACTTCACCCTGGCCAAGACCGACTCTGACATGAAGCTGATGCACGGCGACGAGCTGCGTTTGCGCTACGTGGGCGAGATGTACAGTCCGTGGAACGAGATCGGACATGTGATTAAAGTGCCTGACAATTTTGGGGACGACATCGGCCTGGAGCTGAAGTCCTCCACCAATGCCCCGGTCAAGTGTTCCAGCAACTTTTCGGTGGACTTCATCTGGAAGTGCACCTCCTTTGACCGCATGACACGCGCCCTACTCATCTTTGCCATGGATCGCACTTCGGTGTCGAATTTCATTTACTCGCGTCTGCTGGGCCACGGCCGACCCGATGCGAATGATGATGTGCTCTTCCGCGGCGTCCAGCCCAAGCTGTTCAGTGCCCCCAACTTGCCGGACCTCAATCGCAGTCAGGTCTACGCCGTCAAGCATGCCCTGCAGCGCCCTCTGAGCCTTATCCAGGGCCCCCCGGGCACTGGCAAGACCGTGACCTCTGCCACCATTGTGTACCAGCTGGTGAAGCAGCACGGGGGCACTGTGCTGGTGTGTGCCCCCAGTAACACGGCCGTCGATCAGCTCACAGAGAAGATCCATCGCACCAACCTGAAGGTTGTGCGCGTCTGCGCCAAGAGCCGCGAGGCCATTGACAGTCCGGTCAGCTTTCTGGCTCTGCACAATCAGATCCGCAGCATGGAGACCAACACGGAGCTAAAGAAGCTGCAGCAGCTCAAGGACGAAACTGGAGAGCTCAGCTCGGCGGATGAGAAGCGCTACCGCAATCTGAAGCGCGGCACCGAGAACCAACTGCTGGAGGCTGCCGATGTCATTTGCTGCACCTGCGTGGGCGCCGGCGATGGCCGTTTGTCGCGCATCAAATTCACTTCCATTTTGATTGACGAATCCATGCAGTCCACAGAGCCCGAGTGCATGGTGCCCGTGGTGCTGGGAGCAAAGCAACTGATTCTCGTCGGCGATCACTGCCAACTGGGACCAGTGGTCATGTGCAAGAAGGCCGCTCGCGCGGGCCTCTCGCAGAGTCTGTTCGAACGTCTGGTGGTGCTGGGCATACGCCCCTTCCGCCTCGAAGTGCAGTATCGCATGCACCCAGAGCTGTCGCAGTTTCCCTCAAACTTCTTCTACGAGGGATCACTTCAGAATGGCGTCTGTGCGGAGGATCGACGCCTCAAGCTGGACTTTCCCTGGCCACAGCCAGAGAGGCCAATGTTCTTCCTTGTCACTCAGGGCCAGGAGGAGATTGCCGGCTCGGGCACATCGTTCCTCAATCGCACTGAGGCTGCGAATGTGGAGAAGATAACAACGCGCTTCCTAAAGGCGGGCATCAAGCCCGAACAGATTGGCATAATCACCCCCTACGAGGGACAGCGGGCGTATCTTGTGCAGTATATGCAGTATCAGGGCAGCCTGCACTCGCGCCTCTACCAGGAGATTGAGATTGCCAGCGTGGATGCGTTCCAGGGCCGCGAGAAGGACATCATCATTATGTCGTGTGTGCGCTCCAATGAGCGCCAGGGCATTGGCTTCCTCAACGATCCGCGACGCCTGAATGTGGCCTTGACCCGTGCCAAATATGGCATTATTATTGTCGGCAATCCCAAGGTCCTGGCCAAGCAGCAGCTCTGGAATCATCTGCTCAACTTTTACAAGGATCGCAAGGTGCTCGTGGAGGGCTCACTGAACAATCTCAAGGAGTCGCTGATCCACTTCCAGAAGCCCAAGAAGCTCATCAACACCATGAACATGGGCGCCCATTTCATGTCCACCATGATGGCCGACGCCAAGGAGGTGATGGTTCCGGGCTCTATCTACGACCGCAGCGGCGCCTACAATCAGAACCGTCCCATTGCCAGCTCCAATCAGATGCATCAGCAGAACGGCGGCAACTTTGGGAGTCCCTATCATAGCTCGCCTCTGGGCTATGGGGCACCCTGCGGCAACAGTGCCGGCGCCATGCTCAATGCTGCCCCAGGCGGTGGAGGAGGCAATGGCAATGGCGGTGCAGGTGGAAATGGCAACAACAACTACGGCAACAGCGGCACTTCGGGTGGCAATGGAGGCGGCTCCGGAGGAGGCAGTTGGGCCACTGCACAGCAGCCACTCATGCAGCACGATTCGATCAGCTACATATCGAACGAGCATGGTGCGGCGGCCCTCAGCAATATGCCAGTGCCAGTTGGGATGTTCATGAATATGAGTAACCTGCCACCGCGGTTCTACAATCAGCATCAGCAGGCCATTTCGGCGGCCAAGCAGAACCGTGGCCTGCCGCCGCCATCGACCTCGTCATCGTCGTCGACGGGTGGCAATTATAACATCGCTGTGGGTCCAGGCAATGGACCAAATCCTGGGCCAAATGTTGGCAATGGTTCAGCCAACAGCAGCAGCAACAACCACTTGGTGAGTGGCGGGGTCAGCAAGAAGAAGTTCGCAAAGAATCGTGGAGGTGGGGAACAGACCGGCAGTGGCATTGGGACACCCTTTAGTCAGCAGCCGGCCACGATGTCCCTGCAGATGACCCAACCGGGTGGATATACGCTGTCCCAACAGCCAGAAATGTCTCAGGATTATGGACAGATCTCGCAAATGGATGGACTGCTCTCCCAAGATGTGTCCCTCAGTGTGGTGAGTAGATTGATTGACTCTGTTGGTCCTGTTCTGTTTATTGATGTTCCCTTTTGTTTTTGCTTTTGCTTTGGCTGGTTCTTCGTTGCAGTCGGGCGAACGCAGTTTGAATCAGTTCTCACAGCCTTATTGAGAATCCGGCAAGAGGAGCAACAAGATCCACTGACGAATGAATACCAGAAATTACCAGCGAAACAAATACGAAACAACCAACAGAAATAACAAAAAACAGCTTTTTGGAAGACAACAAACAAATGGAAAGGCAGGAGGCAGCAGCTGCAGGCAGCAGAAAGCGGAAAGCAGGAGAATCAGATGAATGGAATATGATAACCGGATACTTAGAACACCATTTTTGGGAACACGCTTGATTCAGAGTGGGAAGCCAAGAGGCCAGCGACCACACACACGCGATTGGGGGAAAGAAAGCAGCGCAGACACAGCGGCCGCCGCAGCTACTCAATATTTATTGGAGTGAAATGCAACGGAGACGGACCTGAAACTGCGGCGACGTTTCCAGCTATAAACGCGCCAAAAACTTGCAGTTGGGGGCAGGCCACAAACACACATAAAAGTGGGCCACAAAGGACCTTGCCAACCCCCCCACCACCCGTACAGTTTGCGTACACAAAACGATGAAGGATGTCGACGATGATGCCCTGTCGACAATGATAGGTTTTTTTTCAACACTGCTCCACGGGCGGACTGTTTTGCATGGAACAACCAAACCACCCCCCAACCCGCCTTAAGGACACGAATTGCAACACGAATTATTTGTTGCGGCTCACCTTCAGTACAATTCTTCAGCTCCTTCTGATCCTAAACTGTGGGATTTATTTACACACCCAACAGAAACACACCACACAAACACAACCAAATTCATGCCTTTCTGTTGTACTTTGTAGATCTTAAAATTCTGAATTAATTTCTGTATGCATTCGTTGCCACAAAACAAAACAACAAAACAACAAAAACACACACACTCACACATACACAACACACACAAAAAACGAAATGAAGAAAAAAAGAAAAAACCAACCATAAAGAAACGTTTTTATACAATAGAAAAGCATAGAGGAAAAAGAAAGAAATAATTTCAAACGAAAAGCAATAACAAATCAGGAAAAACACCTAGATAGTCGATGGTTAAGCAAACAACAATTTTCAATCACATGGGAACGCTGGCGGCCCCAAAAAAAAACAAAATCAAAGGCTGCCAAAAAAACAAACAAGGAAAAACACCATTGTCAGACGGTACAGAAACGGAGATGATGATGAATGTTTTACACTATAGACATCCTATAGACTCTATAGGATAAGCGTGTGTGATCTTCAACCCTCCTTCCCCCCCAAAAAAAAAAAAAGAAACCCCCGAACCGAATCAACCCACACAATCACCGCATAAGGATGGTTAGGAATAGAACAGACAGAACGGACCGACGACCACATCGGATCTGTATGGATGACAATTAAAGTTTTGCAAAAAATTAAAATGAAAATATGCAAAATGCCTGTTGCGATTGTTTTTAAAACGATATAAATGAAAATGGTATATTTTTTCTACTACGCAAAGAAGACGGTGGAGAGTTGATTCGTTCCCCCCAAGAGACAAAAAGAAAACAACAATTATGTAACGCACCCAGAAGAAAGCACACAATAAAATGGTTATTTTTCTTAATACATTTTATTCTGTTGTTTTCTACGGGGAAAACATTTTAATAAATAATTACAATTTTTATTTGCGACAAAACCACAACGAAATGTTCTAATTTACATTGGATTTGGCTGGGTTGGTGACTATTTTATGAGGTCTGAAGAGAAGAAATACACAACAAACACTTGAAAAGCATTAACATATTTTTCTTTGGTTCAAGCCACGCTCACAATGGAACCTGTAAAAACTAAAATAATAATAGGACTAGGCTTTAAAACGATCGAAAACCCCCAATCATAAAAGCGAGCTGCTATGATTACATCATTCGTTGGTGTGGGCTTATCTGTGCACCTTTCTCATCAGGCATCCCATCCCTGTGGGCTGGGGGCCAATAATCAAGACTCGTGCAAAAGTTTACATTTGTTTGGGAGTTGGGTGTTGTGTATATTTGGATTGGAACAGTTTGGATAGTTTTGGATGACATTCTTGAATAAAAAGTAGAGAGAGAGAGACATGCCCGCGGAGCGCGGGTTTCTGGCTCCGCGTGGATTGTTTACAATAATTGGAGTTTGAATTATTTTGTATAAATAATGAAAGAAAGGAAGGAAAAAAAGGAAGAGGAATGGTAAATAACATTTAACGAAATATGAGCGATTAAAATTCAAAGAACACTCAGGGCCCACACAGAGGCATAATTCTTTCAGATCGCTTTGCGTTGCTTGCGGGGTCTCGGTAATCTTTGAATATTAATTTACAAAATTGTTTTAAATACATTTTTTTTTGTTTTTTGATTGTTTTTTTTTTGTTTGTTGTTTTTGTTTTCCAAGCACGGAGAGTTCTTTAAGTGTTTAGATTCGTTTGTTTTATCTGCAAAAAAGATGAGGTTTATGTGTTTAAAAAATGTAATGTAATCTAGTCACACGTCGAGACAATAAAAACAAAGCAAAACATAAAACTAGATGCTCAGTCATCAGTCGTGTCTTTGCTGGATAAATATGTATATTATTTGCTTGGCTAATTTTAATTTTGCTAATTTGTCTTTCCTTTTTGTTGCAAGTTTGTATGGGTTATAGACTCGAGATCTCGAGACAGTGTGAATCTTTTTGCAACTAAAATATAAATTAAATATAGTTGCCTCACTATTATGTAGGTTTAAAGTACTTAGAGCATTCTTTCAAAGGGTTCCCTGAATTCAATTTCTAAAAAAAAGCTCTAGTAATACCTATAAATAGAAACCATATTGCATTAATTCGCATTTACACGTACTAGTATCATCCAAGTATATATAATTGTAAAGTCGTTTGATTTGCTCAGTTCCACCCACGATATCTCAACTCCTCAACTCTGCTATAAAATATCTCCCTCCTCCCAATTCGTTCTATAGAATCATTAACTATTGAACGGTTGTTCTAACTTGATTGCAAATCCCAAACTGCACAACATGGCAAACAAACACTGGACGTATCACACTATGATTAAGAGCCCACCAAGATGCCGGCGACATGTTCTTGTTTTTGTTGCTGGCAGCAACAGTGGCAGCAAAGGTGGATCCGACGCGTGACTGGCCGTGGTAGTTGTTCTGGCTGTGGCTGTGGCTGTGGCCGTTGACGCTGCCATGCTGTTGCTGATTTCTAAATACGTTTACCCCAAAAATGGGACTAAACACTGAGCTGATATCCAGCGAATGCTCCAACGCACGGGCAGAGGCCACAAAGGTGGTCTTAATGCGCTCAAAAGTTGCACCGTCGTAAACGGAGCGTGCCGTGTTGGATAGATCGAATGGCTCCTCAATATTAAGCTCCTTCCACTGGTAGGCATCATTTTTATAGCTCTTGGCCAGGCGACAGGCAGCCACTGGCAGTACACCACCGGTGCGCACCGAAATGGCAAGGTTACGAAAACTAAAAGAAAGACAACGATAAATATACGTATAATAGTATATAACGCAATGAAGATGCAGTACTCACTCAAAGTTGCTGTAATATTTGAAGAATCCAAGGAAGAGCTCACCGAGTGCCTGTTGATTTTGTGTGGGATATGGGTCGATGGTTTCTATCAGATTCAAATCGAAGCAATCCTGCTGCCCGAGCTGAAACTTTTCTGGGTAAAGGGTGTGCAGGCATGGTAGGATATGCGGTGTGCAGCCATGCTGTAGATAGTGCAAGACCATCAAGACCAGCGAATAGCTGGAAATGGTCATGCGTTTGGCATCATTTATATCATGGTATTGGGCCCATAGCTTCACTACAACCACCAAGGGACGTGTGCGCCAATCAACTAAAGGATCAGAGAGGCGTGTCAGAGGTGTACCAATTCAAGGCAGAATATTTTGTATATGACTTACGCTGTGCATAAAGTTGAAGCAAGTAGGTGTTCATGATTCCCACACAATTGTTAAAATTCAAATCAACTTCAATCGAATTGATGATGTCCTCGAATCGTAATATTGGAACACGCGCCTCAATCAAATTGAAATCACGAAAGATACCTGCAACAGAGGATAACAGAGAGACTTAAATTGCCCTTTACCTTCCTTCTCACCTGTCTCCTTGAGCACTGACTGAAATAAAGTCAAAATCATCAATGCCTCGGAACGCTTCTCACTCTGCATGTTGTGTGAATGTTGATAGGGCTGTGGATGCAGTTGCTGCACCGGATGATGGTTGTGTTGATAATGATGCAGGTGATGTGCAAGCAAATGTGGTGGCCCGCCCACGAGGCACATATCAATATCGGATGAGTCAGTGCCAAAGCCAGTGATGGTCGAGCCCACCAACCAAATACGATACTTGGAGAACATGGGCTACAAAATGATACGAGACTCTTTACGATCTGTACTTTCGCGTGTGCTGTGTACTCACATTCATCCAGATCAACAGAAAGCGCCACAGACGCATCTTTAACTTGAATTTCTTTGTGGTCTGCTGGGCTCCACGGAAGCGGTTCCACATCTGCAACGACAACTTGTCGTATTTGGACATGCAAATCAATTTCTCTGGCTGCACGGTCAGCTCCATGTTGCGCGCTTGGGTCAGGTAACGATCTGGCGGTAGTATAACATCATACCAGGGCACACTATTGGCTATGGGCGATGCTCCACGATGCGGTAGTGGCCCATAAGCTGCGGCTGCGGCTGCAGCCAAGCCGTGTGGATGTCCGTGCATATGTGTATGGTGTACGCCTGCTCCTCCACCGTTCAACGGTGATCGAGCGGGACCTGCCAATCTAAACATTTAACGCAATTTAAATCTATGCCACGGACTCGAAATTTTACTAGTATATGTATGTATTTCGTTTTACAATATTTGTAATATAACTTTCCCTTCTCTAGACTAGCGCACTGTTCAACGAATACGGAGAAACTGAGAAAATGATTTGTTGTGTCTGACGAATTTTAGTCTTGGCTTCGTCTAAGCCTACTCTACTCTCAAGGATATTTCAATTTTTCGTCTGTCAGTGGCTGGCTGGTGGCTTGCTCTGATCGGATAGGGTTTTGTTTTGTGTCGGTTCGTAATAGCTTATAAATATTTTAAAGGCGAAAAGTGATAGTTCACACTAATTATATTTCCTTTTTGCTACCAGGAATAGAGCGTTTAAGACCCCCTGCAGACTCACCGACTGTTGTTGCTGTTGCCACTCCAGTGGGACTCACTGCCGTGAGAGGAAGAGTTCGAGGACAGGGCGGGCGAAATAGAGCGATGTCCAGGCACGCTGTGGGGCGATACCGTTGTTGGATAGCAGGGAGAGCTTGGATGTGGCCAAACGCCAGCCGGTGGTGGCGGCTGAGGTGCCGGTTGGGCATACGCCTCGCCAAAGTGAAAGAAAAGCTGCTGCTGTGGCTGCTGTGGTCCCTTGAGACTGTGGGGCGGCTGCTGCTGCTGCTGCTGGATGAGGAATGGCACACCTGAAGGAAAATTGTTGGGGCTGTTGCTTGGCGCCTGCCGCTGCTGCTGCTCGCCAGTGTCCGCTGTTCCGCTGGCCGCCGCCGCTGTGATTGCCTCGTCCAGTTGCGCGCAGCTGATCATATTTGCGGGCGTTGTGCCAGGGGAATGACTGTGGCCACTGCTGGCCACCGGCGAGAGCAGGGCCAGAGGCAGTGGTGGTGGTGGCACAAACATATTACCAGCCACAGGAATAGCCACAGGAATAGCCACTGGTGCGCTGGTGCCCAACGCAGGCGACGACGTGGCCGTTGTTAGGGTGATGCTGGGCTTTGCCAGCAGCGACAGTTTCCCAACGGCCGGTGAGCCAACAGGTGTTGTGGTGGTTGCTGTTAATGCTGCTTTGCTTCCAGCTGCTTCGGTCACTCCTTCGCTGCAGGCATCCGCATCCACATTGACGTAGGTGAGATTATACAGATTCTGATGCTCTGAACTGGTCGGCGTGGCTGCTGCCCCACCACCCTCGATCACCGCATGGTAATGATGCTGATAGTAGCCACTCTTTCCGCCATTTCCACCCTGTGCGCGTCGATGCATTGAATTAAAATTGCTGATGGGCAATATCTCAATGGACTTTTGTGGCCCAATGATGCCTTCGGGGCTGTAGTGCATCTTCTTGCTGTTACTGTTCCCATGATTGTCGCTGTGCTTACGCCGAAAGTGCTGCTGCTGCTGCTGCTGCTGTGGCGTCTGTTGCTGCTGCTGGGCATGCTGCTGTTGGTAATGCTGATAGACACATTGAGCATTCCTATAGCGCTGCTGTTGGTAGCCACCGCTGGCTGCTGCCCCTGTTGTTTGATGCCTGCCAAAGCTATTGCTGTTGCTGCTGGTTTTCTCGCTGCTGTTGCTGTTGCTGCTGCTGATGTGGGCCTCTGGCAGTAGTTCCTTTTGCAGAAACGATGCTATTGTCAGCTGCTTGGGCTGTGGATAATAATATTGATAATAATTTTGCTGATGCTGCTGATAGGTAGCCCCAGAGTTGCGCCTCTGCTCGTAGGACAGTGCTTGTAGCTGATGCTGCTGCTGCTGTTGCTGCTGTTGTTGTTGCTGATTTTGTTGTTGCTGCTCCACAGCCAATGCCTCCTTCTGGCTGGCCACAGTCATTCCCACTTGCTATATGTGAAAATGTAATTAATATAAACAAAATCAAAACTTGGTGTTTAGCTCACATTCTTCATTTGATTGGTGGGCTGCTGTGGATAGTTGGTCTTCCAGAAGCTCAATGGCTGCTGTCGCGGTGGTCTCGCCGCCTTCAGGCTCTCCCCAGCTCCTGCTGCTGCCGGCTGCTGCTTTACTCTCGCCGTTTCTTCGATCTCTGCATTCTCAGTGGGACTGTTGCTGGAGCTATTGCTGCACACACTGGTGGCTGCTGCTGTGCTTGAGGTATCCGTTGAGGAATCGGGACTGCTCCGATAATACGATGATGTGGACTCTATGGATGTGGAGGGTGAACTGCGTTTCTTGCTGCTGCTCAGCCATTTGCTTGATGTTTTCTGGCTATTATTAACGTTATTATTATTGCCATCACTTAGCTTGCAGTCGGACATTTGTTGCTGCATTATATTTTGATTTTTCATTAACAAATTGTTGTTGTTAAGATAGGAGGATTGATGCTGCTGCTGTAGATTGCTATTACTCCCAAAGTATTTCTTTCTGGCCAATGAATGACTGTGATTCGTATAGAGCATCTGTGGCTGCTGCTGCTGTTGTTGGCTCTTAGTGTTGTTGGCGGCCTCGTTGAGGCCATTGATGCTGGTGATGCTGCTGTGGTAGCTCGGCACCTGCCTCAGCATATTCGACGTCTTGCTGCTGTATTTGCCGTTGTACTTCAGATTGCTGCCAGGCGATGATACGGCCGTTACTTTGGACCTGAATTCCCGCTGCTGCTGCATGGGCAGCACTCCAGAGGTTGTGGTAGCTCCCCCTCCCGTGCTCGTGGCAGAGTCGGCGGCAACTTCTGCGGCTACAAAGATCTTCATGTCGTCTCTTTGGATGGCATACATTAGGGGATTCCCTTGTGTTTCGTGGGGGACTGGATGCAGTTGTTTTCTTTTCGTTTCGTGGTTTTTTGTTGGGTATAATAATAAGATACCAGCCGAACTGCTTTTATTTTCTTTGTGTTGGCTTAAGACTATGTTTTTTTTAAGTTAAGTGTAAAATAGTTTGGTTTTTTTTCTTGTTTTTGTTTTAAATAAATATATTAATATTTTTTCCGTTCTTTTTTGTGATTTTTTTAAGTGGTGTCTATTGAATATTTTTTGGTTTTTATTTTTTTAGTTTTTTTTTTGTTTGTTTTACAATTGCTTTTTTATTATAATTAATTTCATTTCAGATTTGTTTGATTTCTTGGAGGAAAACTTAACTTTTACTTTCTATTGACCGTCACTTTATAAGCCCGCCAGTGTACCGAGTACCGTTAGATTTCAAGTGCACTGCAAAAGGCAAATGGCAAATGGCACATACACACATACACACGCACTGTTTTCGTTTTTGTCTGTCCTCCTCTCCGTCTTCTTCTATCCTTCTATCACATTCGAAGATCTGTTTTGTGTGCAAAGACGCGACACCACAAAGTGCCGTTACATACAAAGCGAGGAAGCCGCTAAGAGGTAATTCAGCAGTGAAGCAAGGCGAATGAGCAAACACAAGAGCGCGGGGGCTGGGGCGAACGGGCTCCTTTTTCTTTTTTTCCCAAAAAATATGTATTTTATAAATTAGAATTTACACGGGGCGGGCCTGGCCAAAACGGTGCTATTTCTTGTTGTGCGTCGTCCTCTGGTTCACACTGCTCCGTTTTTTTAATTTTAATGGGACTGGGATACTTCTAATACACAAATCAAACATTTATAAAATCTAAAATTTTTCGCACCGACCGCTTTAAAAAGCGGTAAAGCAACTAGTTATCGAATATCTATGCGAACCCTAGTCGATATTGTTATCGTCTCATCATTTGGCCGTGCTGGCGCCCCCACAGCAAAATTCAATTTCGTTTATTAAAATATTATTTATTAGTACTTTAAGTACCTTCTCCTTGCAAATTGAATTAGTTTCCATTTTAATAGTTTAACAATATGGCTTTAGGCTTATCTGGAACTATAACTAACTCCTGCCACGAGGCTGAGGGATGCTCCTCAGTACCGATTGAGCAGAGACTTCCAGAAGAGGCGGGCCGGCAGCATGGTGTCACGTCCCACGCAGCTTTTGTGAGTGAGCCTGGAAAGGAATGTGAGCTGGGGACGGTACAAATGGTACAGGCTGGACTGAACTTACAGGAAGTCGGCGCGTCGTAGTCGCTCCAGGTAACCTTCTGTGGCCACGGCGGACAGAAAGATCTTGCGCACCGGACGCGGTACTTGATCGTGCAGCTGTTGGGCCAGTTTAAGATGTGTGTTGGCCGCACTGGCCACCTCAAAGATACACTCCTCGACGCCCTTGTCATCGCTCTTGCTGCGCAATATGCGCTCCTGACTGACCCCGTGCCGCACCAGCACTTCGAGGGGCACACAGACCGCTTGCTGGCGTCCCGCATGTGGTATGGCCCTCAACAGTGTGGCTATGCCCTGAGCCTTGCCCAGATGAGAGGCTGCGTGGTCCACTTGCAGGTCCTTGGCGCCGCTCACCTCCACCAGCAGATGCAGCAGCGAGGAGAAAGTCTGCTCGGCGTATTCCTCGAGTTCACGCAGTGACTCGAACCCCTGATTGGGAGGACGCTCGCGCGCTGTGACCAGGCGACGCAGATAGATTTTGTTTAGCTTGCGGGTTCCCACGGCGTACTTCAATTCCCGCAGAACTGGCTGATCCTTCACATACGACTGCTGGGACTCCCGCTCGAAGCATTTGTCTATGGAGTCGTACCAGAACTTGAGGCGGAGCTTCGCAATTTGCGGCTCTACTTGCTGTGGGGAGATATGTAGGTTAAGAACCCTTTCCTTTACCCACGAAATGGCAATCGCAACTCACGTGTCCGCTGACTGACCGGGATACCTCCACGTTGAAGGCACGTAGCGCAAAGGCGGCTCGTCGCAGCTCCCGCGGCAGCAGCAGCGTGCTCAAATAGTTTTCATAGTCATACTTCCTAAGGAATGTATAGTTTAAGCATAATAATACTCGGGTGGCCTCGTAACTCCAACTTACTCTACCAGGCCCATGCAGTACTTGGAGCCGAATCCATTGTTATCTGGGTCAACGGCCTCTGCCTTAGCCGGCTGGCCACTTGCGCCTCTGCTGGCGAGACATTGTCCTTTTCCAGTAGTTGCATTAAGTAACAATTGGTTATTCCAATTTCGTACCAGGCGCCTCATCTGTTACCGCTCTTCTTCTTCGATGAAACAGCTGATTTCAGGTTTACATTGAGGCTGTTCGCAGTGAGCTGCACAGTTCCAGGCAGAAAATACCAATAAACTCAAGAAAATACCGATTGCGGCATTATATTATTTAGAATGATTGTTAAGTTTAATATTGCAAAACCTGTAATATTAGTTTCTTGAGTACATTTCATAGAGCCAGAACCAAAAACTACCTTTCTTGGTATTCGATTAGTATAGAAAATTTAATGGATAAAATCGAGCTAGTTTATAATGGTCAAACTTCACAGCGACCCCGATATCAGATGTTCAATCGCATCCGCAGCAATCCTCTCAAGTTTGAGTTGAAGAATGCTGCCTCATAAGCGCCACCTTGGGCGAGATATGAACCTGGTATCGGAGTCTTGTAAGGTGCTGCTTCATCCGACTCATCTAGGGATATGCGCGACATCCGTCCGTTGGATGCCGCTACTATCCTCATCCGCCGCCACCAGCAGGTGTATTGCAGGACATGGAGTTTTGAATCCGGCCAATTCGTCGGTTCGGCCTTAATCCTCCTCCTCCTCCTCCTCCGCCGCCACCACTGCTGCCACCTCCTCCGCCACCACCACCGCCTCCTCCACCACCTCCCCAACCATTGCCACCGCCCCGTCGATTATCGTTGTTGGTGCCTCCGTTGAAGGGGGCTAGGAACGTCTGGAATCTGCAAGGAACTCCGCTTAGTACTGGGACCATGGGACAGCCACAAACACACACACTGTACTTACAATTGCTTAATGATGAACCAGATCCCCACAAATATTTCCACTATTCGCTGCCAGTCCCAAGGACGCTTCTCGCAGACGCGACCATCTGCAAGCATAAATAAGGACAGAACTCTAGGGAACAAAGGGCGAGACAGTTAATTGCACTCACTGCGGTCGATGTACACCATGCTGCGGCCCTGCGAACATGCAGGATGCTCTTAATTCCACTGAATATTTCACAATTTAGACACGAAAATCATAACAAAAAACGACGTGGTGTCAATTGGTTAGAGACGATAATAATTTCGATAAGTTTATGTTAGCCCTGTATCTTTACGGTATATTTTGGTATATTATTGGGGGTCTGACGGTATATCTTATCGTTAATTCCGCGGTCACACGGGACTCGTGCAAATGAACAAAAAACAAAACAAAAACTGGTGCCCGAGATCTAACAGATATTTGCACCTTTATTATTAGTGAGTGTGAAAGTGCGGGGGTGGGAAACAGCAGCAGCAACAGTAGCAGCAGGTGGAAATGGGCCCTGGCTGGTAGAGGCTGAAAATCGTAAATACTAAGACGCGTTGTAACTGCACACAACCAGAAATCGGCCAAGCTGACCAAGGTGAGTACCCTAGGCAGATGACTGCTAGTAAAATCCACATGCCTGCTAACGTACTAATATCGCATTGTTTCTAACCAAGTTGCAGTCCTCGTCCTCCTCCCCCACAAGCCCACACACCAGAGACCATTTCTGTATGCAATCTGCTAAATATAGAGACACGCTCATGCCCAAAAGAAGATGTAGTTGCCGCCAGTGGTGGCGGTGGTGCATCATCATCACTCGAGCGTACCCATTCCCCAGCAAGCAGTGTAGCTTCCAATGTGTTGAATGGCTCTCAAATTAAGAATTCCTTCTTGAATGTCTTTTGACGGCCACCGCCTCTATTTCCACGCACAAAATTTGCGTGTTTTGGACTATTTTCCGGCTTTACATCTGCTCGACTCTCTCTCTCTCTCTCTCTGTGTGTGTTTGTGTCTGTCTGTCGGCCTGTCTGGCAGCGAGTGTGAAACAGGTTTCAAATTGTTAGACAAGCTAGAGATAAACACGAAAATTATTTTTGTACTTTGCTTTTGTCAACAATATGCGCTTCAACTTGACCTTTGCCGTTCCCCAGTCTTCCATGCTAATTTTTCACCCCAACAACTCGTTCTGGTTCATGCGGCCGGCCTCTACATTCGTCTGGGGAGCGTTGCACAGAATCACATTTTGGAGTCACTCATCGTCCCAGTATTCCCACCGAATTTTGGATGTTCTGTCAAGGTCAATGATTTCTCTACACACTCTCTATGTGGCGTTTACCCTATCACGAGGGACTGTATTAGCTGAACGCCCATACATACTGCTCTCGTGGCTATCTATGAACTCGAATTGTGTGAGGAAATGGCCGAAGATAATTTATGGATTTTCTATTGAAAGAACGAGAGAATCTGTAATAATCAATGTAACACCACAGTCGAAACTTATAGGAATCCACATTAAGAACCGAATGAGTGATCATTAACATTCAACAAGAGTACCTCCGGTAAAGGATTACTGGAGGGAACAAAATCCTTAATTTTTGGATAAGCATTCCCTGCTGGACTCCCTGCCAGATTTGAAGGATTTATGTATCCGTATCTCCCAGTTTATAAATTAAGAATAACTCTCAATTTAGCGATTTTGTTTGAAACCCATTTGCCGTATCATTCCCCGAGCACTGTGCAACGTCACATCTGGCTGCACGCCTGCCTGCCTGCCTCTATTTGGGCAATCAGTTGATTGTTCTTGTTGTTTTATGTATGTCTCTTGCCTGTGTGTGTGTGTTTGGTTTTATATTATTTTTTTTTGGTGCTGTTTCTAGTTCGAGTTCTGGGGCGCTGCTGGGTCTGGCTGGCTACTGAGTTTGGTTAACCCCCTCGCAGCAGAGCAAAATGTTTCTGCTACGAGCGTGTATTTTGTTTCGAATTTGGTTTTTTTCAGTAATCGGCAAACAACGCGAGTGAGCGTACGCATATTATTGGGGGCCTTCTAATATTTTCCGTAACCCCCCGTCTGACATCATTCCTTCTGTTTTTTTTTTGCGGCGGCTTTCGTGTGCGTGCGATATTTTGTTGTTGCTGTTTCTGGTTTTTGTTTAAGTGTTCACATTTCTTCTGCGTCACCTGTGTGTGGTCTCTCTTTTTACCCGCCTGCGCTACTCTCTCTCAGTCGTCGTCGTAGTCGTGTAATACCGTTATGCCCGGGCCTAGGCGTGTCTGCGCAGCCGCCACCCGTTCGTATGTGGAAACGACGTGGATCGCCAGGAATCGATAACCAGAGAGAGGAGAGGAAGGACGAAGCCCGAAGCCCTGCACACAAAAGGATCTAACGATCATCGAAACAAACAAGAAAATAAAACTGCCATTCTCCACGCTATTCTCTCTCTACCTCTCTGCCATTCACCATGTATTCGGCGGGTAAATAAATTTAATACAAAAAAATATAAAAAATTCTCAAACAAATTCCATCATTTGATCATTGCGCCTGAGCCCCAACCCACCCTCACCCCAACCGCTCTAAGTACATATGTATGTATTTTGCATCTTTTTTATTGAGTTTGTATTGTAATTGTGTTTGGATCGTATGCTTTTTGTTGAACGAACACACCTTTTTGTATTGGGGTTCGATTTTGGTTCTCATTCTGTGTATAAACTGTGCGCCGGAAACGGATCATCAAACCCACATCACCCCCGAACCAAACATTCAAACACCATCCATCGAAGCTCTTACATCACTCGTGTGTGTGGGCAGCCATATCGTAAACGGGGGCATCAATTATATAATTGACCGCATTTAAATGACCCCGTCTACCGTGTTGGTATCAGCAAAACAGCAGCAGCAGCTGGGGCTATGACTGTGGCTGTGGCTGTGGCTTTGGCTCTCTGATAAGTTTTGCCACCAAATTAGCAGCAGGCGGCAAAATGGGATCGTATGCCATCATCCTCCTCTTTCCTACACATTATCTGCACTCCATGTCTGGGCACTATCGAAGCACCAAGCGAAGCTTATCAGTAATTAATATGTGGAAAGACTTGATTATTTATACCAATAAAATGGGGGCCCTCGTTAATTTGAATATAGAATTTATTTATTTGTACCGGTAATCAAAGTGGAAAATGGAATATTTGTGGGTGTACACTTTTACATCCCTTTTTTTTTTAACAAATTCCCTACAAGCTCCAAAATGTAGACTTACAATTTAGCTGAAGTCAGATATCCATTAGAACAGCAACGTAGATATTTGCTTTGTAGAATGAAACCCTAAATCAATGGATAAGAAACAATTTTGTACAGGACTTTATGAACAGGGACCAGATGGACATATTATTAGGATGTTAATATAAAGCGACACCAAGGAAAGCATATTAAAGTCAGAGTCCAGTCATAAACCGATGGGCGCTGCTGACAGACGCGTGATCTCTGCAATAGGTATTCCGAAAATATATTCAGGTGTAATAAGGGGTTAATTTCAGTTTTCATAATGTCATCTCATCATCCACTTCCTCGTAATACACGTACTAAAAAACTTACCTTATTGCCTAGTCCAGACATTCCCGATTAATCCCTCAAATGCCCAACTCGTTGCAGTCCGCACCCACGACTACGACTATCCCGAATCGGAGATGGACGAGCGCGAGAGCCTGTACTTTGACACCATTTCGCTGGCGGATTCGGAGGCGGCTGCGGCGGCGGCCGCCCACCGCAAATCGATATCCCAGTCGCGCAACACCATCTACCATTCGGCCGTGGATCTAGCCAACGATGAGACGCGCAATAGCCTGCGCCTAGGTAGTGGCGCCGCCGCCGAGCATGCGGCTCTGGCGTGGCAGCCCGGCTATCGGCAGTCGACGGCACTGGAGCACCTGAACGGTGGAGGTGGCGGTGGCGATCAAACGGATGCAGTGATTGCCGCACAAATGCTGGCCCTGCACAACGGACGCAATCATTTGCCCACGGGGATTGGTGTTGGCGGCCATACAGGAACTCAAGGAGGAGCTCTAGGAGGAGCAGGAGCAGGAGGTGGTGACGATGAGGTCTCTAGACGTCTGTTAAGAAATAGTAGCACAGTTTCTAATAAAGATAAGAAATTGCCAATTACATACTCCCAGTGGAAATTGAGGGTAAACAACAACAATAACAAATACGATCCAACAAAAAAAAAAACAAATTACGAACCACAACGAATTTCCGCACGAAACGCTTAAAAAAAAAACAACCGCCTCGCTCTGCCGCTCTGCTCGTCGCCTCTTTTTTTTAGTCCTTCGCACTCACTCACTCTCGCTCGCTCTCATCAAATTTACCTGACCAATCAACCAAATCAAACCACCCACACACCTGCCTGCTCGCTCTCGCTCTCCCTGTCTCGATCTCTTAGTCTCACCGTTTGTTGCGGCAGTTGTTGTTGTTTCCGTCTCATCCACATTTGCATATTCCGTACCGTACCATCAATCTCCCATCACCATTATCTTAGAGCGTGCTCTCTCGCAAGCTTTCGCACTCTATAAACGTTCTCTTTTGCTACACACGCACACTCACAGCCACACACACACATGCATTCTAGACGCCTCTTCTTTCACACACTTCATGGTTTATTTGCTTCTGAGTGCTGATACCCTTTTGCAGAAAGAGTAAATAAATATAATTAAATGTTTTCTTATGCATTAGGCATCCGTTTGTCTGCATTTAATAGGCATCTCTAGCCAAATACGTTTCCAGTAAAAATACCAAATGAGCAATCGGTAGAATTTTAGATATACAGATATTCCACCTACCGATTTGTCATAAGATAATTTCTTTGATTGAAACCCCGTTTCAATTGCAATCTAAATTGATTAACAATCTACATAAATCAATGAATATTTCAAAGAAAAATAGAAATATCTATACATATCCAGCTAACAATCTGCAAAGGGTATCCAATACTTCGGTACACCGAAAGCTTTCATAATTTCCGCACAAGTTTGCTTTACGGAACTTTTGTTTTTGGGTAAATGAAAAACCGTTTTAAATATTTTGTGTATTTTATTGTAATTAAATACATATAGTCTGTACGTTACTGCTACGCAGCTGTTGCACGGAGAAAAGTGTCTGTATATATGTGAATTTTAATAAATATATAAAGAAACATCTCCAATCTGTGCCGGCGCCTCTCGCCTCGTAAAGAGAGTGTGAGAAAGAGAAGTGGCGACATCAAATCCATTTTGCTTTTCGGACGCAACGGTCGGGTGTTC